GACCTCTGAGATCATCAAGTCCAACCCTTGATCCAACACCACTGTGGTTACTAGACCATGGCACTAAGTGCCACATCCAGTCTCATCTTAAAAACCTCCAGGGATGGACAATCCACCATTTCCCTGGGCAGCCCATTCCAATGCCTGATTACCCTTTCTGTAAAGAATTTCTTCCTAATATCTAACCTAAACCTCCCCTGGCACAGCTTAGTGTAGGACACACTCTTGTCCTACTGATAGCTGCCTGGGAAAAGAGACCAACCCCCACCTGGCTACAACCTCCTTCCAGATAGCTGTAGAGAGTGATGAGGTCTCCCCTGAGCCTCCTCTTCTCCAGGCTAAACAACCCCAGCTCCTTCAGCCTCTCCTCATAGGACTTGTGTTTGAATCCCTTCACCAGCCTTGTTGCTCTTCTCTGGACCTGCTCCAGCCCCTCAGTATCCTTCCTGAACGGAGGGGCCCAGAACCGGACACAGTACTCGAGGTGTGGCCTCACCAGTGCTGAGTAGAGGGGACGAATCACTTCTTTGGACCTGCTGGCCACACTGTTCCTGATCCAGACCAGGATGCCATTGGCCTTCTTGGCCACCTGGGCACACTGATGTTCATACCTGTGGAATCAGGTAGCCACCTTAAGTACTCTTTGTTCTCCTTATTTCATCGATATCAATGCCAATGAGTTGGTGTGCGATGATGGCATGCTCCATAAAAATTTCCACCACATAGATTGTGTACACTGGATCTACAGGGAACATTATTTGAGTCCTTATAGATAACCTCCAGCACAGCTAATTCTCTCAGGTACTGGATTCCTTTCTCCATGGCATTTCACCTGCTTGGGCACACTCATCTTTGTGAGAATACCTTTCTCTCAGACTTGACAGAGTCACTTCCAAAAGGCTGAGAGTCTCTGTCGTCTTCCCAATTTCAAAATGTCAATGCCAATGTCCTGGGACAGGAGTCCCAGTTACTTGGCTTCACTACCATCTGATTTCACATCATGGGTGGCAATATCCCAGCATTGGAGCAGCCCAGGTCATCAGGGGCTCACTTGACTTGCAGTTGAAATCTTTTCACATAGCTCGCAGCTCACTCAAGGATAGGGATCAGGTGATTATTTCTGGCCCTGCATCTTTGGCTTATTCTGAGAGTCCTGCTACATCTTCATACTTCACTAAGCAAACTGATTTGGTCTTGGAGTGGCTACAGTGCCTGTTGGACTGCTTTCCTCCTTCTCCTGCTGAGTGTGGTCTAGTGACAAGTAGTGTCCCAATAAATAGTAGCCAGGGCCCAGCACAATTCAGTAAATTGGTCCTCTACTGCGTTGCCACAGCATTCTCCTTGCAAATATTCTGTCACTTTATCAGGGTCCTATAGCTGCTTATGGATGAACTTCCAAATGATTGGAGCAGAGAATTTCCCCCAAAACTGGCCCATTTTCTCCCATGTTCTGTACCACTCGTGACTAGCTGCCCTCAGGGTCGATCTCTGAATGACCTTCTTTGAACTCTGTCCTGACTCTGAACATGGTGTTCGCTGTACTGACTCTAAACATGATATAGACCATACTGAGGAGACGTGGAAGACACAGCAAAAGAGCATACTTTCCTTAACATCCACAGGAAATTCAAAATTCTCAAAAGCTATCGTAACAGTTCTGAAGAAGGAAAAGCTGGGGAAAATCATTAACCCCTGTTCTCCCCACTGAGTATGATTGTTAATGGCCTCTCAAAGGTAGTGCCCGAGATAAGAGTAGGAGAGTAACACTGAATATACATACTAAATGACCCTCCTTGCCGCTGATGTTATCATGTCATAAGTTGATATCACACAGTACAGCAACAAAGTAATCCTGATCCTTCTCTGTCCTCTGAAAAAGAACATTGCTAGGAGCATATAGTGCATATATGGAAACACATATATGATTAGGTACTACAACCATGTGAGCAGACCAAGCAACATTGTGACCAGTGCCTCTGGACCTAATACAAGAAATTCTTTGATTAAATTTGTTCCAACCTACTCTGGGCAGATCTGCTTCTGCCTCAACCCTTCATGCGTCACATTGGGCACCAAATAGGACTGTCGTGGTTTAGCAATGGTGTTCCCCATTTTCATGCTCTCACCAAAACACTCCAAACCATGCTCTGCTTGCATACTCCCCCAACCCCATCGCCAACAGCTGGCTGGAGAGGAGAATTGGAGGCACAAAAGGCAAAGAACATGGATTACGATAAAAACAATTTAATGGAAACAGCAATGAAATAAGAAAACAAACAGGAACAGCAACAATATGAATAACAGAGTGTACAACTGGCAAAAGACTCACATGCGAGTGCTCATCACTATACCATTGTGGAACTCCAAACAATACCTGACTGTGCCATGCTACGTGACCTGAAAAGGGACTCTTTTCCCCCTGCCCCCAGAAATATAATATAGAATAACCTCCAGGTCCTTAACTCTGTCCTGCCTAGAATCAGGACACATATCTACAAACACTTAGGACTTATGCTGCTGAATGTTCTCCTTTCACTGGATAATTAAACATTTGCTAAAGAATTCTTTTATGTAAAGACATTTATGGTCCATTTTTCACTGCTACTTAATGTCTACTGTTTTAATCTGCTTGGAGAAAAATAGAAAAGCATCAGTTCATATTCGTATATTAAAAGAATATAAAATAAAGTTGGCTAAATTTTGACAGTGTTTGTGTAATTAAGAAAGTAAGAAAAGAGAGGCTGCAATCCTCCACACTTAACTGCTTGGACCACTTTGGTATCTGAGGACTTGGGACTCAGTTTCTAGAGAAGCTGAGCACCATTCTGGATGTTAGTGCAGGCTTTGAGCTTTTCTGTACACTTGGCAACAGTAGGCTATCCGTAACAATAAGACAATGCATGCTTTTTTGTAGCCAGACAATGGCATTAAAGAATGTCTGGAATATGCCTTCATAAATTTGAGTTGCTATGATCATTGTTGGATTTATTCTGAAAGGAGAAAAATATCTGCAGAGTTTAAAACTCAAATGTCTTGAAACCATTTAAATTTTACCATGATTTGAAAAGTCTGGGCTTATGAAGTGTGAAGGTAGAAGAATAGGGTGTCATGCCTTCCTGAAGTGCAAGTAGCAAAGCAGACTTAGACATTGAACAAAAATAGTTGCGAGGTTGAAGGCAGGCTGCTTGAGGGAGTCAGGGAGACACTTGTATGGGTATATGAAGAATTCAGCAAAGATGTATCTCTGCTCTAGAGTCTGACAGCAAGATAGTCCTCTACAGACTATAGCTCATATATCTATGCCCACATATTTAAGACTAATATTCATGTCTTCATACAGCCCCTTCTGTTTGGTTTCTTTGCAAATGAAACAATGTGACAGAGGTACTGGAGGTAGCTGTGCTATGCTTACGTGGCATGCAAATATTACTGAGTTCAACTACATGTGCTGGCTGTTATGATAGCCATCCTTACAGACAGCTCACACAGTGGTAAAGTAAGTTTTTCTTGCATTTTTTTATGTTGCCTCTAATGAAAGACACCCTAATGGTCAGATCTTGTCACTAACTTTTATAGCTCCAACAGTAAACATGGACAAAGAATTTTGTGAAAATCAATTTGGCTGGAGAAAAAACCACAGTTCCATTTTTTTTCTTCTTTTTTTTTCTTTCCCTTTTTTTTTTTAAACTGGTAACAGCAATTTCATTTGTCAAATGATCTAACTGATTTTATTATGAAATAAGATGAAATCTATGCTGAATTTTCATATGGAACTCTAGAGCCTCTGGGCAAGATTTTTCTTTATTATTTATTTTTAATTTTGGCTTTCCCATTTAATATGGTTTTTTCTAACAGCTTGCATAATGTGCAGAAGGATCACAGAAACTTTTTTGAAACCTTAGATACCAAAATTTAAAATTGTTAGAGAATTTGTTACAGGGGCTACAGCAGCACCCTTCCAAGAGATCACAAAGATGTCATCACTGCAAACACCTGGGTGTTTCAGCACAATGATGTTCAGTTCCTTCTTTGCTTTGCAAATAACTCTGTGTAAAGTACACAATACAGGTTGCAAGGAAGCACAGACAATCTAATTTAAATGCCATTGTGAATGGGAGAAATACACTCCACCCTCCAAAATTCTGCCTAGATTTCCTCTGCTGTCATTTCTGATGTACGATACCTTAATTATTAATTAATTAATTAATGTTTCCTAATTATGAATTTGTTTGGACTCCATTGGTCCTGGTGTGCCTTTCATTAGCATAGTCATATCATAGATAATTTCAGGGCAAATTGCAGGATTGCTTGGTCAGTTTTTTTTCTTGCCTTAACAGGATCTGATCCTGATTTCATACCAGCGCAAATATCAACTGGCTACAATGCAATCCAGTGCAACAGAACCAGTTACTGGTGTGAGAATACAGCTATGAGTAGGACACCAGTTGTAAACCAGTAGCCTCCTGGATTATGTGTGAGATGACCCAAACACAAACCTCTGATCTGCAGTGTCCTGTGGAGAAGCTTCTTTCTAATTCTGTTCACTCCCCATGGCAGTTTACAAATATCAGCCTAATTCATGGATAACACCTCAGCTAGGGGATGATGTTTAGGTGCTATGAATATCTCCCAAATTAGCCTATTGCTAGCCTCAGCATCCATATTCATGCCTTGTGCCAAGTTCCATAGTTGTGCAAAAGCCCTACATTCTTGTTAATTTTTTCATTGTTGTGATTCCAGCAATTATGATTTCAAAAGGATGACAATGAAAGCAAGGCTATTTTACATATTAAAAGGAATTTTTCTTTATCTGTGGGAATCATGCTGCTAAACATTACCTACTTGTGTAACCAACTGTCATGTTCCCATAAAAATTGTTTTCTCGCCCTGGTTTTGTTTGCCCTAGTCATTGCTTGCTTCTTTAGTTAACTCTGCAAGCTAGTGCTAAATACAATACAGCCATTTCTCCAGATGATGATGTGAGATCTTTGTACTGCTCTGTGCTAGGAGATAATTACCTTGTAAGTAGGCAGCTGATGCAGTTGTCTGATTCAGGTCCAGTGCACTTCTGACAGGATGCTTCACACAACTGACATTCTTGGGAATCATCAAGATATTCCCCTGGTAGAAAAAAATTTGTTTATTTCAGATCAACATCTCACAATTGAAAAAAAAAGGAAGGAAAAAAAAGCACCAGGCTGAAAAAAGGGAAAGGAATTAGATCTATTTTGAATTACTGAAATGAGCACATTTCTGTGTGGCATCAGGAAAACAAGTACTGGCTCCCTTGGGGAACCAGGACACTCAGACTTGGTAGTTTCTAGTGCTTATTAATTTAGTTTTTTATTTATTAGTTTTTTCCCATGTGAATTTGACAGAGAGTGATTCTTGTTGTTCTTGTTAATGTTATTTATTTTGCATCATTTGAACTGGTGAGATTCTTAAAGATTCACCATGGAAAGTTCCATCAAAACCAGTGCTACCAAGGAATATTCATTACATAATGTCTTTAGGTGCAGCTGCAACATGAGCCTGATTTTAAGCTGCAGCATAAAGATTGTGCTGTCATGGGTGGGGGTATGTTACATGAGGAGATGGACTTGAGCAAGCTTCTCTTAGTCAGAGACATGTTGGTGCTTCCTAAAACTCCAGCTATAGTGTATTTTGCCCCGTCCCAAGCTACTGATGGAAGACTCCATACAAAATGGACCTAGGTTCTCATTTAGGCTGAATCAAAACTTGGTGCCAAATTGCACATTTGGACTTGTAAAAAAAATTGTATCATATGGACTGTTACCTTAAAACTAAGATAAAGACATAAACATTTCTAGATCATGAATACACTAGTTCTACTATAGTGCTGAAGTGTAAAGTTTGCCTCTTTATTTACTGAATATTAATTAAAACATTGGTACAAATGGTAAGCTGCTTTATATTCTTAGAGCAGAGATATTAATTTGGTAAGTATGAATATATACTGTATCTGTGTGCATCATCATGTGAGAACAGTAAATCAATATATCACACAGTTTTATAAAGCTCAAGATTGGTCTTTTATGTGAGTTTATTTTGGGAAAATTTATTGTAACTGAGTCTATATATTTAGAGAATTGGCTGTTCCTTCATTTTTGAGTAATGGAAGAGGCTGGGCAAAATGTCCTATATAATACATAAACCCTGCAGTTTCTATGGATACTTCAATATGGAGAAACTCTTTCCACTTGCATTGCTGCTGGAAAACCCAGATTTGGCAAATACAGTGAACTTCAGGACTAAAAATACAAGTGTGGAATGACTCGGTTTTGGCTCTCAGTTTCAATGAGTTCCTTATATTTGAAGAGCAAAGGCACTGTACAAGCAACTACTGGTATCAATTTAAAACAATTTCTAGAAGAAAAAACTTCTAAAATACCACAAATTGTGTTCTCTGTTCATTGTGTTTTTTACTACATATTAAACTGTATTAACAAATTTTTTAATGGTTGAAACCTCAGGTGTGAGATATGAGCTAGGATGGTACTTCCATGCTTAAGGGAATGGGAATAGTATAGTTATAAAGGCATACCAACTAGAATATCAAGCCAACTCTGGGTGAAACCTAAGGTACCCAAAATGTAGGCAAAGATATAATTTTCATTTTGTAAAGGTTTGCGTGGCTCCTGAAGAAAGGGAAAAACAAAAGACAAGCCAAAAGCCAGTGACAGAACCACATAAAACATGGAGGCAGTCCTTCCCAGAGGCTGTTCTGGGATCAGCACTAACTGGGAAGAAGTTCAGAACTGGGAGAAAATGAACAGTCTCCTGATGAGATCAGGGAAACAAAAATCTTTGTATGCATACATGTTCATACATTTTTATAGTTCTCATTATCCAAAGAGCATTTTGTATGTGTATATATATATTATATATGTTTACATACGTTTAGGTAATCCCATGCATGCTCATATAGGCCAAATCATGCAAACTGACTAGTTCAATAGAACTAGTGTAGCATTTCTGAACTGCAATGCTGCATCTTGTATGACTGATTACTTTATAAAGGACTAAAAATGAAAACATTAGAAAAGCTGTTAGACATAGAATTCAGTAGGAGTCTGAATGTTTCTACATATTACTCAGATAACTTGTTGTATTGATGCATATCTATCACTTTCTAGAAAAAAATAATGTGGTCTACTATCTTGTAGTTTTTCAGACCACTACAGATTTGGTTATTGTAATCCTCTTGTGTCTTTCTGATATGTATTTAGAGGATATAACATGGAAACCCAGGTTCTCAAATACCTTATTGGATTTAATATATAATTTGGTCATGGTTTAGGAATAGTACTCCCCAATTCAGTGCCCCCACTGAGACTCTCCCAAACCAGACTCTACTTGCACACTCCCCTTGCTTCCCCTCTCCCTTCCCATTTCAGGGATGAAGTTGAGAGCTGGAGGCACAAAAAGGTGAAAATCATGGGTTGAGATAAGAACAACTTACTGGAAACAGCAATGAGATAAGAAAACCAACAGTAACAGCAATAATATTAATAACAAAACATATAAGACAAAGAAACAATTTAAATGTAAAAAGGTAAACCAGTTCCAAACTGTTTAACCCACCATGCTTTCTCCCCCCACAGGAAATGGTGAAGCAAGTCCCTTACCCCCACCCCTCACAAGTCATGTGAGATGGTATTGAATAACATTAGGGTCTAGCCATTCCTCTTTCCTGGCTACTGTAAAAAATTAACCCTGTCCTGGCTGAATCTAGGACAAATTTCGTCTGTCTATCTATCTATCTATCTATCTATCTATCTATCTATCTATCTATGCCTATGTATATGTATATGACACACACATATATTTCAACAATAACACAACCATGAAAAAATGCAGTATCTACACACACACACATATGCATACATTTGGACAATAACACAACCATGAAAAAATGCAATATCTGTAAAAGATTTCCTGCTGCAGGTCTTGTGGCTCCATGCTTTATAGTACTCATTTTACAGCTCCAGGAAATCTATCAGGGTGACTTTATTACATAATTGCATCTCTGATGTTGTTCTGTGATACATATTAGAAAACCTTTCTGTTTCTCTAGCCTTTCAGTTTATTTGCCCACACTACCTCTTTGCTTATCCATTGGGCCCGAGCTACTAATTCATACACCTCAGCTATGCGTGATTAAATCCTTCTCACATGGTAGACATGCTTAGTTTGAAAAGGTTTCAGTTATTTCTTTGTTATGCCTTTCATTTGAAGTGCTATAATTAATTTCAGCTGTGCTGGAATAGTGCCAGGAAGATCAGTTCTGCACTTACTTTATGCTCTAAGCTGGAGCATTTTAAAGCATAAGACTGTGCACCAGAAAATACTTGCATGTTGGGCCCTCTGAATTGCAAGTCACATCTACAACTGTAGATCTGCTACTGAACATTAATGAAATAGTCTTCAGTGGACATTCAAAGAGTTAACACTGAAATTCGAAAAAGAAGACTTTTAAACTACCCCACAGGGCAGTTTAAACATCTGATAGAATTCCCTGTGAGCAATTTATTTCTTTACAAATCTTGCTAGATAAATAATAATTAACCAAGGCTCAACTTTTTTTAATCTTTTTTTTTCTGTATTAAAATTCTTTATCTGTCAAACATACCCAATGGAGGAATACTCTCAGAAACGTGCCTTAGGTGTGCTTTCAATCAGGCAATGCTCATCAGTTACTTTGGATCATCCCATATTTATCCTTAATTTCTTTTTCAACTCTGTTACCTTGACAAAAAACATGTCACCTTGATAAAAAAAGGAATGAAGATGCTGTAGAAATAAGAATTTGTTAACAGACATGATTCCTGATAATGCAAAGATTTTAATGTATAATTTTTGTGTCCACTGTTAGAAATGTTTAACTCCACATCTGGGCTACATCAGGTTGCAGGCTGTGCCTTCAACTGCATACAAGAGCCCCACACTTAGCACTGAGCTCCTATCAATTGAATGTGATGTGTTCTAGAATGAGGCAAGCACAATTATCTCCCATTAAGAAGCCCAGTAAGATTATCCAATTAGGGTGCAATAGCAAACTAGAACCTATCTCTCTTGAGTTCCAGTCTAGAGCACTGTCATACTTGCTAAGTCGTTCTATGTCTTTGCATAAGCAGTATCAAGTGTACCTTTATCTTGTCACTATTTCTCTCTTGCTTTCCAAAAGCTGTGTCATTCATCGACAGCACAGGATATTTCAGGAGACCAGTTAAATGATGGTGTGAATATCCTTGTAAGTTATGCCTGGAGATACGGACTTTTATGTGCTGGCTTTCATAAATCTTTTTCTCTTGTTGTCTCCCAATGAGACTTAGACACTGCAAGTCACATGTTATTTCTCCACTTTTCCTGATCAAAACTTCACTTTATCTAATATTAATTTGATTATCTTCTATAACATTTCTGCAGTGGCTTTTCTTTAATAATAAATAGAAAAAATTACCTTATTTGCTCTGTTTTCCTTGTTTACTTTCATGGGAACCTAGATGTGGATTTTATAGTTGGGTTTTTTGTATGTAATCTTATAGGTTATAAAGTTTTGACAGAGCAGATAAACAAAAATTGATCAGAATTGGTTTTCATCAATCAGCTGTGAGAGCTGAAAGAAACTGGTCTTACAGAGTGCTCTGCTTTTTTCATGTTTGGCCTTGGTACATTTTATTTTGTCTGGTTTGTGGGATCAGCTCCTTGAGTTTTCTGAAGAAACACTTATCCATAAAGCTTAGGTACATAACTCAGACTAACTTGCACATAGCAATACATTAAAATTCACCTTGAGGATTCTTTACTTTAAAGTTACTCCTCTGCTTAGACCAAAGTCTTAAGTGTTTGATAGATTACAGCTCTCTGAAAGAAATCTTGCCATAATCTCCATGTCCTAACATTTTCAAGATGAAAACATTTCCTTTACCTTCAGATTTTGCAGTCATACAAAATTGGAGGCTGGTTTCCAGTTATTTGTCTAGCTTCAATTTTCAATGTGCTGATAATTATTCTCCTCCCCTTAGTCATTTTACACAATGACCAAATTTCTGTCTCCCTATTTGGATGTCCAGAGGGGACAAAGAAGATACTCTTCA